CATCCCCCCCCTTCTCCATCCCCCCCCTTCTCCATCCCCTTCCACCCCAGGATCTTCTTCGGGAAGAACAAAGTGATGATGGTGGCACTGGGACGTGAGCCGAGCAGCGAGTACAAGGAGAATCTGCACAAGGTAGGGGCTGGGGTTTAGTCCCTGCATCCCCAAGCTTCGCCTCGCTCACGGTGGCTGCATCGTGGAATCAGTGCCAAGGGAAACAGAGCTTGCTTGGGTCACTCTTCTGTGGGGGCTTTAATTGCATCCATCGGTATCGTGACACAAAAGCTCTGTCGCCAGCGGAGCTTTTGCGGCTGTCCAGGGCTGGACCTTAGAAGGCGAGTCCCTGGGTGCTGCCCGAGTCCCACAGGCGGTCTCTTTCTTCCAGGTCAGCAAACACCTGAGAGGCGAAGTCGGTCTCCTCTTCACTAACCGCACCAAAGAAGAGGTGGATGAGTAAGTACGTGTCTGTCACAGCCAGAAGTGCTGGGCAGCCTTTTCCTCCACTCGACTACTTCACTTGCAGATGTTTCTCTTAAAGCAGTGATGATCCTGTGAGGCTTTTCCGCTTGTTTTTCTCTGCCATCCCTGCAGCAGCAGGGAAGAAGTTATGGCAGGCCGTGCCATAATCCCCATCTTAGCCCAAGGATGTTCCTTCTGTAGCCCAAGCTCTCGTTCCCCAGGTGGTTCTCCAAATTCAAAGAAGTGGACTTTGCCCGTGCAGGGAACAAGGCGACGTACGCGGTGAGCCTGGACACGGGGCCCCTGGAGCAGTTCCCCCACTCCATGGAGCCCCAGTTACGGCAGCTGGGATTGCCAACGGCGTTAAAGAAAGGTACGTGGAGAAGGTGACCTTTGTTTTCATCTGTGTAGATAAGGTCTTTTAAAGAGAATGTTAAACAGTCGAGTAGAACGTAGTTTTGGGGGAAATCCAATGGCCAGCTTTCTCCACGTTGGCGGCTGCTAGTTCTTCTTGCGTCATTTTTCCCAAACTGATATCAAAGGACAAGTGAAATGACCAACTTTCTACCACATACCCTCCTTTCCTGGTGGAAACCACTAGGCCTGGCCTAACCTAGCGCCTTGACATCGCCTTCAGAAACCAGATGTGGGGCCTTTTTTAGAGCTGACCTCACCCAGCTTCTTGGGGGGCGCTAATACTTGGATGGAAAGGCACAAGGGCGGTGTTGGAGAGCGCCTTCCCTCTGCACCCTCTGCTTCGGCGGGCTCCCCTGCTCTTTGTGAGCCTCTTTCAAGCGCTTTCGTTCCTGCAGGAGTAGTGACGCTGCTTTCGGATTACGAAGTCTGCAAAGAAGGGGACGTTCTCACCCCCGAACAAGCCCGAGTCCTGGTGAGTAACGTCACAACACAGCGGCTGCGCGAGCCCCTGTCCCCTGCCCCCCCCCGCCGATACAAAATAATTAACGGTTCGGTTTAATCCCGCTGGGGGGTGCGAGTTCTCGGACGAAGGTGCATTGGTACTTGTGGGTACCAGCTGGTGGGGTGCAGCACGCACCCCCACGCGAGTGCTGAGACCCTGCAGCAGCTCTTTCGGCTCCTGCTGTGCTGCTGTTCCCACCTGGAAGGGTGTTTGCTGGCAGTGGTGCTGCTAGGCTGTCCCCGGAATGACGGATTTCTGTCTGTCCTTAGAAACTCTTCGGCTATGAGATGGCAGAGTTTAAAGTCACCATCAAATTCCTGTGGAATTCGGAGACGGGAGACTTCCAGAAGCTTGTGGGAGACTCGGGGGAGGATGAGGAAGAGGAGGATGACGACGACGCTGACAGCAACGAGGACTAGCAGCAGTCCTTGCGCTTGGACACCAGACAGTTCTACTCTGGTTTAGAGACAAAGAGGAGGATGTTTTCCTTCCCTGTTTGCACCCAGAGGACAAGGACCATCAGCTCAAATACGCTCTTCATAAAAGATGAGCTAATTGCGCTTTTTTTTTATATAAACCTCTATATAAAGCTTCAGATGGTTGTTGCTGCTGCTGCCTGTTAGTGCTTGACTACCCTGGAAATGCCACCTCAGCCCTGAAAGCTGGGCAGAAAGCGTGTGCATATAACGCAGCGCAGCGGGGAAGGTGCTGAGGGGTTGCTCTTCTGATAAAAGCTTCACGAGAAGCTGTTTAGCTCAACGTCACGGAGCGCCGATAAGGAGATGCCAGCCAGGCTGTGGCTCAGTTAAGAGACAGGGTCTGCGTTAGAAAAAGGTTTTATTCGTGTACGTAATTATTTAAGCACAACTGGGGCCTTCACCCAGTTGCGTCCCTTTTCCCCGATCAACCGTCTTTAAATCGTAGCGAGGGCGGCGTTGGGCTGAAGGCCCGCGAGGGGAGAAAGGCTGAGGCACGGCCCAAGGCGCCAAGTGCCGACAGCGGCAGTGGATCCTACAAAGCTTCATTAGTACAGGAAAAGTCTCAACCCATTTGCATGTCATCAAGGGGGCAGGAGGGTGGGTAAGTCCCTCCTGTGCTTTGAGAGACTTCTGCTCACCTACGCACCCCCAGACACCCACTTGCTTCTCCCCACCCAGGCCTCTAGCGGAAATAGTTGGGGCAGTCGTGCGCAGTCAGGTTCCAGGCTTTATCAAAGGCCTCCACGACAGGCGGGAGCAGGGGACCCTCTTCACTGTAGTCAAGGTTCTGCTCTAGCTGCTCCAAGTTGGACATCCCAATGATCACCGCGTCTCCAAGAGGACCCTGGAAAGCAGCAAGGGGAGCTGCTGATCCCAAAAGAAACCTAGTTCGCCTCCCAAGCCACCGCAGGGCCGACTTTAAATGTTTCTTTCCAGTAAAGACCATCCAATAACTCTGCATGTTCAGACAACTGACACCACGAAGTTCTGTTCACCAGGCCAGAACATCTCCAAATCATGCCAACTCCTCAAAAGCTGCCAAATCCTGCGTTACAGGAACATTTTTGAGGAGATGGGGAATGTAACCATGAATTTCCTAGTCCAATGAAAAGCAAAGTCATCTCCCTGCAGGGAGGCTGTCTGGGCGGGAAGCCAAGACCCCAGGAACTGGCACTTAAAAATCTTCCAATCCTCTGAGCAGAGGAGCTGGGGGGGGAAATGCAGAGCTGACTTCTGCAGCCCGGCAGGCAGAGCCCCTGCAGCAAGGGTCGCTTTGGAAGGCCGCAAGCCCACGGGATGGGCAGATGAAGAGAGACCCGCTCGCAGGGAGGCGTCTCCCCGCGCGGGTGCCGCGCCCAGCCCTCACCTGCAGTTTGGAGTGGTTGTACAACCAGCGCAGAGCAGCCGAGGCCGGGCTTGGCGCACTGGGGCCGTAGGCATCTTTCAGAGCTCTTTCGACTAGAGTAATTCCTTCAAAATTGTGTTTTTTCCAGTACCTGCAAGAAGAGAAATCGCTGTCATTGCCCTTGGGACCTCCAGCGACTCTTCTATCGATACTCCAGTCAAGTACGAAAGGTTTTTGTAGCCGCTGAGGACTTCTGCCATCCCCCGCTACGCTGGGAGGCAGCTGAGCCTAAAACCCACGCTGCAAAGCTCAGGCACAAGCTGCAGCTCCGACCCCCTGTGCAGACGTAGTCACGCTACAAGCTTCAGTCAGCTCTGCTCCCTCTCGGCCGATGATTACTGTGGTTTCTGTGCAGCCGTTCCTGCCGCATCTCCCTGCTCTGCTCTCGGCTCAAAACCTACCTGTCCCTGTAGGCTTGAGCCCAGTCATTCCCAAAAAATCTTCCAGTGGGCTGGCTGGTGTCCTTGTCCTCATACTTGTACTTGCCGGTCAGCAGCCCTCCTGCCAAGGGTCAGCAGCACGTTTAGGGCCGGGCCGGCTCTTCCGCAGCCCCCGCTTCGCGCGTTGTTGTCTCCAAGTCTCACCCTTTTCCCTCCCCGTACCTGCGAGCGGGTTGTAGGCGTAGAACCGCAGTCCGAAGTGTCTCAGGCAAGGGAACAGCTCGGCTTCCACCTGGCGAGTGGTCGCGTTGTACATACCCTGCAGAGACGAGGGAGACCAAGAACTCCCGAGGCTACCTCCGGCTGAGCATGGGCACCCGCACCAGCCTTCTCCCCACCCTTCCCCGGCAACGAGCAGCCTCAGGTCACGCGAGGTTACGATCCTGACTTTGTAAAGGATTGCAAGTAACGCACAGCCGTCCAGGTTCCACATCAAGGGAGGCTCTGACTCGAGCAACAAACACATACTCAGCTTTTTCTGAGAAGTGACCTCACTCAGCTGCCTAACCGCACGTGTCCTGGAAGAACTTCCCACGCTAACTGCAGCAGCTTCCCTTTCCGTGCTTATATCTGGCACGCCGGGGGGCTGCTCTGAGATTTGGGGCTCCCAGACCCTTCCCCACGGTGACTGACCATTGCTGTAAGGACACAGAGAACCCCCCGTATGCTGTTCTGATCTGAGCCCATGTGTTCTTTTGGTTGGATTCATCTCAGCCTCCACAAAAGACCTGCGGGGCCACGGCAAGCCCCCGCCCCTCACCTGGTACACAGTTGGCATCACCCACTGGTTGTATTTGCAGATGGTGCAGATTTCTGCGACCTCCCACGCTGCATAGTTCGAGAGACCAAGTTCTTTAAACTTTCCCTGCAGAGGAATAAAAGGGTATTGAGTTCCAGTTTTTAAAAGCAGAGCTGTACCAAGATGGTGGAAAGGACATTCACCGAATTTTAGCCGAGTTCTCTGCTCATCCCTGTCCACCTCTACTATGAGTTGTAAGACCTGACAAAAGTATTTCCCCCGTTTTATGTTCAAATTGAATGGCACTGTTAGATTAATGCAATTCAGGAATTCTTCTTCCCCCGTTACCAGCACCAATCTTAACCGAGTTGGCCGAAAGCAAAGTTCAGATGTTTTAACGTTTCCAAGAGCTCCTGAGAACAAAGGGCACCATGTGAACACGCAGTGGAGCGTCAGCTGTTTGGCTTTGCCCCGTGATCCCCCTTCCTAGGGTTGCGCAAACCTGGCGCCACAGAAGGGCCCGACCAGCAGCCCTGGTGGGAGGGAATCAAGAGGAGGTGCAGGCCCAGACTCCCCACTTTACTTCTTTGTGCAGCTCATTGCAGGCCCGCAGTGTCTCCTCCACCGGGGTCCCGTGGTCCGGGGCATGGAGGTAGAAGAGCTCCACGCTCGTCCTCTTCAGCCTCTCCAGGGACGTGGCCAGCTGCGATCGCACGCTCTCGGGCTTCAGCGTCTTCCCATCCCAGGGGTTGGCCTTGGTGGCAACTTCCACTGGCAGAAAGAAAGCAAGAACCAACAGGGACGTTTCCACCTTCAGGGAGGCAGCGGGGATAAAGGGGCATAACGCCAGCGTTGCTGGAGGTGTTTCAGGGAAGGCCCTTCTGGGGAACCGTGCCTGCCTGGCAGGGGAGGCCCTTTGCCTCAGGGACTGCAGGTCTGCCTTGGAGAGGCCCTTCTCCTCAAGGCTCCAGGGGTGAGCGCTATCAAGGCAGTCTCTTCTCCTCAGGGATGGTATCAGCCTGTCAGGGAAGATCCTTCTCCTCAGGGAAGAGGCCTGAGGGAAGACCCTTCTCCTCAGGGAGAGAGCCAGCCTGGAAGAACCTTCTCAGGGAACGGGCCCAGAAGTCCCTTCTCCTCAGGGATGGTGTCAGGCCAGCAGGGAAGTCCCTCCTCCTCAGGGAGAGAGCCAGCCTGGAAGACCCTTCTCCTCAGGGAACAGGCGCAGGGCAAGTCTCTTCCCCTCAGGGACGGCGTCAGCCTGGCAGGGAAGCCCCCTCTCCTCAGGGGGCGGGCCCCGGGGAAGCCCCTTCTCCTCA